CCTATCTTCAAAGGTTTGTGTTTCAAAGTGAAATAATTTTTGAAAGATTTTTTTATGTTTACGTATTATTTTTCTTCTGTCCACATTCAATCAGAATGAGTAGCATTCTCATTCATTGTTAAAGACAAACAAACAAAGGACAGTAGAGTTTGTTTGTTTTGAATTTCGCTCAAAGCTACACGAGGGCTATCTGCGCACCGTCCCTAATTTAGTAGTGTAAGACTAGAGGGAAGGCAGCTAGTCATCACCACCCACCGCCAACTCTTGGGCTATTATTTTACCAACGAATAATGGGATTGACCGTCACATTATAACGCCCCACGGCTGAAAGGGCGAGCATGTTTGGTGGGGTGGGGATTCGAACCCGCGACCCTCAGATTGCGAGTCGAGCGCCCTCTAACCACCTGGCCATGCCGGGCCTCACGCAGAAAGAGCATACTTTTCACGAAGATTGGTTTCAGTATATTTATCTCACAGTATTAGAAGTTGCTTTTAACTTTGGAGGTAATTTCTCTGCGTCTAAACAATATACCTTATGTTGTTAGCCCTGGGCGGAATTTGAGATCGAAATGTGGGGGGAGGGCCAAAAAGTCTGACTTAATTATTGTGAATGTCGTGCATATACTATATCCTACAGAAAAATGGTGGGGGAGCAACTTCCCACCTTCGTTATCCCGTCCGTGTTGCTATTTTAAAGAAAGTGATTTTGGAACAACATTTCACATCAAGAATTTTAAATATCATTTGTATTTTATTAGAACCATTCAAGGTAATCCATTTTTCGGTTATTTTCTACCCATCTTACTGATGTTTTATTTTCTATAGATGTTACATGGGAGATTTTTTAGTTGTGTATTTTGTGTCATTTTTTTTTTATGTAGTTAAAAAAAAGTAATATGAAATTAAGCTTACGAGATTCAGTTAAATTGGTTAGTTGTCCTGTATGACATAATACTGATCCTAGGTGACTGTAAGAAAGATAATGTCCTTTTTGTATGTGGGTGATGTCACTCTGTGATTTATGAAGGCACGTTGAGCTTAAACGGATTTTCAGGAATTTTTAAAAGCTGTTCTTGACACATGCTCATTCTAGCTATTAGAGATAAACATCAAGAACATTTTGTGAAAAAAGCATAGCGAAATATTGTCATTATAGCTATTAGAGATAAACATCAAGAACGTTTTATGATAAAGGCATAGCGAATTATTATTATTATAGCTATTAGAGATAAACATCAAGAACATTTTGTAAAAAAAGCATAGCGAAATATTGTCATTATAGCTGTTAGAGATAAACATCAAGAACCTTTTATGAAAAAGGCATAGCGAATTATTCTTATTCTAGTTATTAGAGATAAACATCAAGAACATTTTATGAAAAAAAAGCATTGCGAAATATTTTCATTCTAGCTATTAGAGATAAACATCAAGAACGTTTTATGAAAAAGGCATAGCGAATTATTCTTATTCTAGTTATTAGAGATAAACATCAAGAACATTTTATGAAAAAAAAACATAGCGAAATATTCTCATTCTTGACAAATGGAACATAGTGAAATGAAATTATGTTTAACCAAATGTGGCCTTATAACTTTGTTGAATGGTCAAATTAAGTCAACACTGTTTGTTTGTCATTATTACATTCTATTTGACTTGAAACAAAATACTCACAAAATACAAGTTAACTTCATGATCGCTAACTTGCTTATTACTGTTTTTACCTTTTGCAATGAAAATGTCTCAGGAAAGTCGTAAATGTATAAACCTCTTTTAAAGTATGATCCCAGTAATACTACTTCTAATTTTGAAATAGCTTCAACTTTACTTCCTAGTTCAACATGGTACACTAGTTTTGTGATTTTATTCATCTTTTTTTTAAATATAAAATTATA